TAAATTGTTCAATTTGAAACTATAGAAAAAAAGTAAAATTTAGATCAAACTAGATAGATTAAAAGTATAATTAATCCAACCTTAATTTTTGACCAATTAAAATAAAATACATAATGACATACAATCATCCACATCACTGGAAATTAAATTTAGGAGTAATGTTTTAAAAATTTTAAATACTTTCCTATTGTATATTTCATCTCTGGAACACCACGTGACCATACTTCAAGCCAATCACCAATTACTTAGTCCCATATTGCTCTCTCATCCCAACATAAATCGTGGGCCCCTACTCCTCTCTACCAATCAAAATCTTATGAAGCATCACGTGTTTATATTTTGAGAATACTAAATAATCACCCATTATTCCTGGCAAGTTAAAACTTGGGTTACCAAATATTAAAAAACCAACGGAGGGTGATTCAACAAAACCCTAAAAATCGGCCTCACTTGGCACTATATAAACACCATCTTCATGCCTCTTCTCCTGCACAATACAAATTCAAGTTAAAAACACACTGATTGAAGAAGAGATGGCCAAATTTTGGGTTTCACCTTTGTTCCTCATCGTTGTTCTCCTGCTAAGCATAGGTTTGTTTTGTTTATAGTGCCACATTATATGAGTTTCAGTTCAAAGCATTGTTAATGGCTTTGGACATTTTTTGAGAAAGTCTAATACATTGGGTTTTAGTCCCTCTTTTGATGTCATTGTGTTGTACTTCTTATACATTGTACTCTTTTTCATATCAACAAAATTTTCTTTATCAACAAAAAAAAATAGTGTTATTTAGCAAGACGCTGCATGCAGGCAGCTCTAAAAAATAAAGTTAAACTAAATCAAACCAAACAACATATAAGTGTGGAAATATATACGTACCACTTTTGGTACTATCATGAGCATTTCATGCTCATACATATGACATGACCCACATTGTGAATTTTTATTTTTTAAGAAATATTTTGACATTGATATATTTTTCTTCATTTTATATTAATGACATTGACACAAATTATTATTATTATTTTTTGGTGAATTACACTAATTGTCCTTGTGATTTACTTCTTATGTCAATTCAGATTTTATTACATCAATCTTACCCTTGAATTTCTCATATTGACATTTTTAGAAATTATGCCGAAATCAAGGAGAAGGACAATTCATTCGCTCTCTTAAAAATAATTGAGACATGGGCATTTAATTTGAAATACTTCATTCTCTTCTCAATGGTCTATACTTTGCCTAAATTTTTTGTCAGCGAGTAAATCTACAGGGACTAAATCGATAAAAGAGCCGAATTACAAGAATCGCGAGTATAATTTATTTATTTTCATATTTTGTTTTGCAGATAGTAATGAAGTGAATGGTCAAGATGTGAAGTGTTGCTTTGACAATCACATAGGTAGTTGTGTACCAGGGACTCCAGATGAAAGTGATTGCGATAAGCAATGCAGGGACAGTGGCTGTGGGAAAGGTGGCCGCTGCAAAGTACTCGATCGTCCTCCTCCCAATCACTTTTGTCATTGTTTTTGTTGATCCTCTCTGTCTTTATTTTCTTTGTACTTATCTCAAATCAAATTATTAATAAAGGTGATTATTAGTTTTTACTATTTCTATGCAATCGTTCTTTTTTTTCCTTATGCATTTTTTTTTTCTTCTTACGCTGTGTTTGATTAGAAGATTTGATAAGAGATTTAAAAAAGAGAAAAAGAAAAAAAATAAATGAAATATAAATAAAATATACTTACATTTCATTTAATTTTACATACATTTTTCTTTTCCCTTTTCAAATTTCTCAACTAAACACAACGTTAGAAGGAAAAAAAAAAAAAAAAAAAAAAAAAAAATAGACGCTCGAGCGAACAGCGCGAATTCAGCAAGTTTAAAGGCACTTTTTTAGATCATTCTTCACACTTCTATCTTCTCTCTTCATCTCTCTCACCCTTAGTCCGAAAACCCTAGAGATTTTAACCCAAATACCTTCAATTTATCAAAGATTTGGCCTAGATCCCTTACCAAAAAGTAAAGAAGGCTTGAAGCTCAAGAAAATTTAAGGAACCGGCTCCTCTGCAGTTTTAACGTAAACTGGACTGGACAGTCAAAGTAATAGGATGGTGACACGTCATCGAAATTGGAAATTAATGGCTCAAATTAAATTAGACACTCACAAGCTTTTTGGAAGATCTAAACGACATCATTCTTTACAATCGTCAACGTTAACACCGTCTTTGTGGGATTTTCATGTTTCTCATTGAAATCCCTAACTCTCTCTCCCTACCTACCTCCCCCTCATTCTCTCTCTTTACCCCCCCTCTCTCTCTCTCTCTATATATATATATATGAGTTTACCACATCGACAAGCACTTATCCTAGGAAAGGCGAAGAAACAACAACAATATGCGGCCAAAGACTGACGCTCCGCCATGGGTAAGCTCAAAACCATTAGCATTCAGATCAGTTCAATCCAGGGTTTCAAATTTCTTGTTCAAAATATGTATATTATGTATGTGTGATTTGTGTGCTCTAATCGGGATTCATTGATATAAGGGTTCATGAAGTTTTGTTTCCAATTGTTAATTACTACAATGTGATAGTGTTTCTGCAAAGTTTGCTATTGTTGCATTTTTTACTTTTGCTGAACTATGTTGAACCTCCAATTACTTTTTGATTGGAAGTTGAAATTTTGTGGGGAAAAAAGAGAGTCTCAACATGGCTTTCTCTATCCTTCTGGGTTGTATATTAAATTTTTGCTCTGTTTTTATCAAGTAGTATGGGTGTTTCCAGTTCTAAGTTATGAAGTATGGATACCATATCCATACCCTGTATGGTGCTTCATATGGTTCTTTTGTATACGTATTGGATTCTCGAAACAAGTATTTAATTATTTTTTTTCTGTTCATTTTTTATCGTACTCAAACGAATTAATATATATCCAAATTGTATCTCAGTCGAAATAGTATTTTATTCTAATAGGGAAATAAAATTTCTTTAATTAGACTTCAAATTTTTATTAACATGATATTTTCTTAGTTATTTCTATCAAGTTGTAAAAGATGGAGGTTGAATTCTCCTATTAAGTGGGTTCCAACTTTCAAGAATTTTACTTGTGTTATAAATGGAGAAGAACTCGTGGAAGGAAGCTGTTGATGAGCAACTCGAGGAATATCATCCATGATGAATCTGGAACTTACTTCATGCTCTTCATTACCCATCATTGCTACTATACTGCAAGTGGGATACAATTTAGTATCTTTTTGATTGCATTTGTGGATGCATTTATGTCATCAAAAGGATTTGGAGAATGCAAGGAAATGTATTGTACACTTGATTAGTTAAATGAGCATCTTATAAAAATACAAATATTTCATCACTTGCATTATTTTGGACCCTTTTGATTTAAATGAATATTTCTTGTGCTCCTTATAAATTTACAAAGCATTTTTATCATTTACAATTCACATAAAAAGTGCAAAATTACTAGAGAAAATATCGTTCACATAACACTGCAGACTCAAATAAATTATTCATAAAATTCTGCCAAACAAATTGCAAAAAAAAAAAAAAAAGAAATTGCAAAAAGGAAATAACAATTAGTTGTAATTCTGCCTCAAGAAATTGTAAAAGAATGAAACTACTGAACCAATTTCACTAATCAAATATTGGAACTAAAGAAGCATTGTTACATAAAAAAATAAAAATAAAAATAAAAAATAAAAACCACATTAACAAATGAAGAACAAACAGTCATTTTGTTCTAACGCATAGTACTTCCAAATCCTTAAGAATCTTGAAATGAAGAACAAAGCATAGAACCGGACATCTTAACTCCCTGCAATAGAATAATAAATGAAGACTCTAAACAATAGTGCAATCGTGAAATGAATAATATAAATGGAAAAATTATGCATGGATAATCTTTTTTTTTACTGTTAACAATTGAGTGAATGAAGAATGGTTTCAAGCTTGAGGTGTTTTTAGAATCATGCATGCCATGGAACTGGACATCCCAACACCTGCAATTGAAGAATACTAACTTACGTTTTAATTTCATCTTATATGATCACAACAACAAGACATTTTTACCCGCAATGAACAATCTAAGAGTGAGGGATACGTAGTATCTGCAAAAGTAGTAGATAAGTGAGGGACTGATTGAGATTCCAACATTGGTCTACTTTTCTTGCTCTTTGCTTGCAACTCAACCCAACTCTTAGGCCTTTTTCTTGGCCTACCTTTCCCCAAACCCACCTTTTTCGTTAACCCCTTTGTTACAAAGGTACGTAAGTTATGACGTTGATTTTTGTCCAAAACTTCTTCACATGATTTTGATGAAAATGGTGCATGAGCTTCACTTGCTTGTTGGCCAACACTAGGTTGTCGACTTAATATATCATCAATCTTTTTTGCCATCTCAATTATAAATTTCGCAAGTATGTCCGTCGTTTCTAAACTTTCAGCCGCACAACAACCCAACTTAATCAAATTGGGGCATAACATCCTATAACGAGAATTCACATCCAAATCAACCATTGTATCTATATACCTATTAATGTCCTGTACTATTCTATCCTTTGCTTGTTTAGCCAATCTCTTCAATAAGTATTGTTTTGGTATATTATTGATGTTCATCATGTCAAGACCTTTCAAAGCATGGGTACACAAAATTTCACAATTCTCAAACAATTTACAAGTACATGACACCATTGGGCCTTATAATTTGACTTTAACTCACTACAACAAAATTGATTTTTTACGGCACCACATCAACGACATATAATGAATGCAAGCTGTAATTTCTCACTTTTACGACTTGCTTTTTTTGTATGTCATAAATAATATCCTAACCATGGCATGTCTATATGATAATTTTTTTACGGCTTGCAATTTTGACAATAAATAATAAAATTTTCTATGATATACATATGACATGCCATTAATACATTAGTTATGTATGACACACGTATGCCGGTCGTTAAAAATATGTCACTTTTCACAGTTCGCCATGTATGTCATGAATGGTATGACCAAAAATTTAAGGCTCCAAAACCCAGTAATTTGCGACGCCATTTATAAAAAAAAAAATATTTAATTTATTTTTTTTATTATCAAAGACACTAATAGTTTCTAGGAAAGAGATGGAAAAGAGAGACGGTGAAGGGGAAAGGGTTCTTCAAACTCTTGTTCTTCAAAGTTCTACAATCAATTGAATTGGTAGAGATCGAGAGGCATAGCAGTCCATTGACTTGTCCGCTTCCTTCCTCAACAAAGCAATCACACTTTCCTTGCTCAAGCTGCTTTGACTTGGCTTCAATTTCTGATTCCATCCGTTCAAATGAATCAATTTCTAATCTGTTCTATTTGCGTAGGCCCTTTCGAGGTTCTTCAAAGTCACACGCTGGTAAGGCACTCATTTCATCTCTCTTTTCTTCCTTCTTCCTAAAACCCTTGTTTCATCTCTCTCTCTCTCTCTCTCTCAATATATATATATATATATATATATATATTCTCATTTTTCGCATTCAATTCAATACCTATCTCTCTATACATACATACATACATACACCTTCTATATCTATCTACATTTTTAGGGTTTTTGTTTCATCTTTCATTCAGGTAACATCATCTCTCTCCATTGTCATCATCTTCGAGCTTTTTCTCTCCTTTTTTTTTTTCTGGTTTTTATTTTTATTTTTTATATTTTGTTGTGAATTGTTGTTTGTTGATGATTTCTCGTTTTTATTGTTGAAAGGTTTTGGATCTGAAAGATTACCACCATTTCTAAGATTTGTTCGCATTTCGCATTTGAGCTCAGAAACAGGTTTGCTCTCATTTGTAGCTTTGAAAACAATGTTATTCTGATTAATGGTGGAAATGTTGTTTTGTTTTTTCATTTTGCTTAGTGTTTGATGTTATTTCAATGATGTTTTTGAGTTTTTTTGAATTTTTTTTTTTCGATTAATAGTTTATTTCATTTATTGTTCAATGTATTAATCTAGGGTTGTGTTCAGGTATCCTTATATTATTTTTGGATTTGATGGAATTATGGCTCTTTTTTTAATGTCATTATGACCGTTTCATTTTTTTTTTGTGATGATTTTGTGATGAAGTTTGGTTTCTGTTGTAGTAATCACTTTGGCTTCTAATTTTAGCCAATTAATAGTTGGTAATCTTGTAGGAGAGGTCAGCCTGTGGTTGAGTTCTTCTTTGCTGCCACTGAAGAGGCAATCTTTGTCCATGTTATAATATCTGCAAAGTTTGTGAAATTTTCCTATCTTTTATTGGTCATAATGGCATAGCATTTATTTGTATTTGAGGTTGATAAATGTTTATGCTATAATTGGTGAATTAATTTGCATTAGTTCCATTTGTGTTTAGGCTTACCCAGGCACTTTCAAGTGGTGACATGGAGAAAATATTGAATCATTATTCTAATTAATTTGGTGACATTCTTCCAGGTTGGTTTCTGTGTGTCCTAGTTAGTGTTGTCATGTGAATTGTTGAACACATAGTTTTTGGTCGATAGAATGTTTTTATGACTCTGTCGGCTAATTTTTCTGACTATTTTTTTTTATTTAGTCTTTGTGTCATGGCATAAAATAAATACTAATTAAACAAGAAGTTTTTGATACCCAAATTAGGAAGGAAGATTTTTTTTTTTTGTTTTTTTTTTTGGTTGTTGATTTGGAATTAGAGAAGGTCGTATCTTGGCCATGAAGATGGGCTGCTTCACTATGATCTTGCTTGGTCATAAAAAAAACCACTACCCATCAACCCCAATGTTAATCCTATCAGTATGCGGTGCTGGGATTCATGAACTTGAAAAGCATGCCTAATCGTCACACAAGCACATATACGAGACTAGCTGCTCTCGTACTTGGACCATATCATGCACTAATCTGTTTGAGCTAATTCTATAGCAATGGAAGGGATTGTTGAATAATGCAATCACTTGGGCCATACCATTCTATGATATAAAATGTCATGTCGTTGAGGAATTTGGTAGTCTATAAATGAGGACTTGTATAATAAGGATGTTGAGATAGTTTAGTGGCTATGCGAGGGATAATAATATTGTAAAAATGAGTGCATTTGGTACTTGTTTGTTGTTTTTTTTTTAATTTTAATTTTATTGTTTTTGTTTTTTTTGTTGGGAAACCTGGAGGGGGGTAGGGAAGTGAGTGAGTGGTTGAGAACAAGATGTGTAAAAAAAAAGTAGGAGATTGGGATACTTTGTCATTTGGGGTACTTTGCCAAAAATCTCACTGGTTAGTGGGTTAGACCAAATATGAGAAATGGGAAACAATAGGAGAAACAAAAGTGGGAAATATAGCCTAAAAATATATAGGAGATTGGAAGTAGGTAAGCAATTACAAACCAAAGGGAAATCTAATAGGAATTCTAGCCGAAAAAAAAATTTCAAAATGGAAAGGGAGCATTAAAAAAGCTTCTTGGAAAATTTAAACTTATATCAATACTTGAATAGATACTTTAATAGAACATATCAGATGCTAAAGAAAACAATAAGGAAAAAAATGAGAATCGAAACAATAAGGAAACAAATGAGAATCATTTATGGAAATAATTCTTGGTTTAATCTTTTAGTTGCACATGACTTGCATATTTAATGAGAATATAGCAGAAATTCAATCCACAGTGAATGAATTGGTTACAAAAGGATCATTTTTGTACTATAAGATGATTCTTAATGCAATCCTTCCATATCCAATATGAGAACTTTATGTATACACAAATATTTTAATGCATGTGTGTCTTTATATGAAATTTGTACTTGTTCAATTCATTTTTATCTGGCTCAAAAGCCGAAGGGTACCATGGCATCCCCACATCTAAATGTAATTCCTCCTCTACATGCTTCGTTGTCCAAACAAAAAAAAGGTGACCTACAAGGGGTTTACACTTCATATCTCCTTACAAGGGAAAAAAACCCCCACTTTTCCCAACCAAAGCACCATGGTATGATTTAACCTCAGCTCATCCTCTGTGTTGCCCAAGGTAGTCACATCATATAAAAACTTAAAGAAACTCTCAAAGTCTTTGAACTCCCAATCCTGCCAAGCTTGCCTAAATTTCATATCCGAAAATGCTTGCTTATCCATTGAATGAGTATGGAAATGGGAATTCAATTCCCACATCATTCCATGTTGATAAGTAATTAATGGAACGGGAATGAGCATTCCATTAAGAGGTCCAAGCTGTAAAGATGCACCAGTCTTTTTTGAAAGTTCACAGACAGGAATGTTGGTGTCTTTATTAATACTGGTTTTTACATAGTTGGCCTTTTGGTTCTATTTGGATGTTGTATTAAGTACAGGGCTGTTGTTCATTGTGGGTTGTAATTGGTTTTTTTGTATCATCTATTGTTGTATGCTGCTGATATATATGTGCTGCTTCATTGCTGCTATTGCCAAACTTCTAAGTTGCTGCTGCACTGCTCTGCTCTGTGTAGCATCTTGTTTTAGGAATAGTTATATGGATGTTGTGCTTGGAACAATTTTCTTTGGCCCCGTGTAGCAGTTTGTTCTGTGTAACAGTTTGCTCTAGTTTTGCAGATGTGTTGTGCTACTGTGTAGCAGTTTATTCACATGAGTTGGGCACAGTTGTTAGCTTCTTGTTTTTGTTATATATGGATATCATCTTTTTTTTGGTTTTGCTTATACAGTAGTCCCGAGATAGATTAATTTGTTGTCTTGTTCAGGATCCCTATTTTGTTAGATATGGATGTTGAATAGTTGTATGGATTAGGTTTTTAGGCTGGTCTATAGCTAGTTGTCAGCCGTTTGTTTTGTTTTAGCCTCGCTTGTTAGGTCCAAATGTTCTCCTCTATATAGTTTGTAGAGCCTTGTGCTTTTGTTTGCTTGCTTGTTTTTTTACTCGAGCTTTTGCCAAATTTTCATATACATCTCACATTGTCTACTAAATTTGAGTAAACAAATATAACTTGATATTGTATTACAATTTTTTTAGGGTGACGAAAACAGTGAAAGTGATGTAGATATTTGGGTAAATTTTATGACATTAATAATAGCCTTAATTTTGTTTTCAATTCATTAGCTTATTTTATGTATTGCTTTCATGATAGTTACATGATGCAAATGAAACTGGAAATGGTGGATCCTTGGATAATGCCAAATGCAGATTGTTGAATTGGGATGGAACAAATGTGGTGGTTGCGGAAGGCACAATTCCATCAATAGATTCTAAAGCATTGGTACATCACGTGCCGCTTGGCCCCAGGTGTTGGAAAGTATGGGTTAACCATGTCATAGTCAATGCGTCATTGTTTCACCCTAATCGTGAGATGTTTGTGCTTGAGGATGCTATTGAAAGCACTATTGCTTAACCGACACATTTCATTAGCTTTGACTTTGCGTAGAAATCCTAACATCTATGGGTAGTTTTTGAGGACTTTGATGAATAGATTTCTATAATCTTTGAATAGTTTTACGTAATGTTCACAACCTTATATATGTACAATTTTGGATAGTTTATAACTTTTTGGATAATTTAGAACTTAAGAATAGTCCTTTTGGATGGTTTTGAACTTGCGGTTAGTTTTTGGAAGTTTAGAATGTATATATTGACAATTTTTGAATGTTCATAATTTATGATATAGTTTATTTTTTATACTTGAAACAATATTTTGGTGGTTAATTGATATTTTGTGAAGCTTTTTTGTAATGTTAGATTGTACAAAACATGTCAATATAGAACTTGCTAAATTAAAAAAAAAAAAAAATGCACATTCAACAACAAACAAATTAGGCCATTATACGAAATATTCTACAACATTCCATGAACGCCATGGTATGTTCTACTTATCTATGGTAGGCTAGGTAAGTAGTTGTATTACAGATTTTACGGCGCACAATCAGCGTTGTTATTTAACAATATTTTGGTGGTTGATTGATATTTTGTGAAGTTTTTTTGTAATGTTAGATTGTACAAAACATGTCAATATAGAACTTGCTAAATTAAAAAAAAAAAAAATGCACATTCTACAACAAGCAAATTAGGCCATTATACGAAATATTCTACAACATTCCATGAACGCCATGGTATGTTCTACTTATCTAAGGTAGGCTAGGCAAGTAGTTGTATTACAAATTTTACGGCGCACAATCAGCGTTGTTATTTGTTCCACCAATTAACAGCATGCAAAAGTAGTCGTAGAAAAAGTGACAACGACGCACAATATTTGCTGTCAAATAGTTTTGAACGGTGTACTATAGCATGTCGTTGAACGTAAACGATTTTCCATGACTAGTCATAATATGACATGATGTTGCACGTCACGGAATAGTATTCACGGCATGCATTTCGGCTCATCAAGCACTTTCACCATATAGTCATGTGAAAGGTTGCTTTCATCATGTTTCCAAGCAAAAGCAGACAAGCTTTTCAAAAATTGTTCTTTAAATATCTCAAAAATTGGGTTTGTATAAAAATCTCCTACATTAATCAACAAAAGAACGGGCAAACCAATTTTTGGCAACTTCTGACGAGAAACATACTCACAATCAAACTCTATATGAGTAATATCATCAATAACCCTTTCAAAATGCTTAAAAAAATACAATATCCCCAAATTTGATTGGAAGAAAGTATGTAGTTTACTATTAAAGCTTTCACAAACTTGCGTGGTATCTGCCCAAGCTGACCAAACTTCCATGACATATGATTTTCCCCCATTTTTCTTTAACCCTATATATAGTAGGCAACCAACTATTATCACGAACATCAAATTTATCATGTCTTACCAAGGACTTGAGAAACTTTCCTCATCATCATAATTGTAAATAAATTTAGTAAGCTCTACACCAATCCCACCATCATCACCTCGATATTTGCTTCTTAAATGCTTAATTGCATTTTGCCTCATATGCCATGTGCATATTCTATAGAATGTGTCATGCATAACTGATGAGATAGCCTTTGTCATTGCAGGGTCTTGATAAGTGAAAATAGTCCTTGGCTTCCTCCTTGACGTATCATCTAAGAAACTCTTAAATAACCACTCGAAAGAGGCAATTGTTTCATCATATAGAAATGTAGCCCCAAATATAACAATATTCCTATAATTATTAAACCCTGCAAACATTGTTAATGGCCGATAATCCTTGTGGATTCTGTATGTTGTGTCAAAACTCATAAAATCCCCAAATAAACTATAGCCAATTATCATTTTCGGGTCAGCCCAAAAGATGTTAGTGATTTGTTCTCCAACATCTAGCCATACATTGAAGTGAAAAGATGAATCTTCATTGATTTGTTGGCAAAATATGCTAACAAACTTCCAGCTTCCCCAAACTTCAATTCTTTTTGACGTTTAGTCTGAAGATGATTTTTTTAAGTCCTGACATGTAAAACCAAGACATTACCGTCAATCTGCCTATTGAGATGCAAGCTCAAATGCCGATCTCAATCTACTCTCAGATGCCTCAGTCAAATCAACTTCAATTGCTTGAGCTTTTGCAATTTTTCTTTGTGAAGTCATTAAATGGACACATTCTGGAATATGAAGTGGGTGATTGTGGTCCTCAACAAAATCAATAACCACATATTTTTGGCTATTTTTGTTGAATGAAACACTCATATACGCCTTACAACCAATTCTTGTTTCTTGGCGTGAATTTTTAGTTTTATCATCTCGTCTTCACGTTGAAACCCTTCTTTCAAACATACAAACCTCCAAGAAGTGATCCTTTCTATTTTCTTACACGTGTTAGTATATTCTATTCTAAGACTAAAACTAGTAATCTGCCCAAACTCATTGTAGAAATCTTTTGCAGTATCTGAATTAAATTCCAAACTCATTTAAGGTTTATAATCTGGCATTGTGAGACTTGAAGATACAGCATCACACATTAAAGTGTCTTTTATAAAGGGTCTTAATTTGAGTATTGCCTTACTGTTTGACACAAGAAACATCATTAGTATTGAAGAAAATAAATTCTAAATACATCATGTTCAATAATTAAAAAGATCTAAAAAGTAAAAAACAATAATTAAAAAAATATCAAAAAATCAGTAAAAACAAAAATAAACCGTGCTATAACGCTCACCAATGTTAGAATAATCGTCCGCCAAAAGTTTGTAATCTACAAAATTGAAGCAAGGGTTAGATCGACAAAGACAAATCAAATCCAAACAATTAAACCGTGCTATAACGCTCACCAACGCTCTCGAAACTTTTACGTATGTACCAGCCCGGTATGGGCGCTTCGGTGTCTTCGTAATTTCTAGACACCCACAAAAAGTCGTCATCGTTCGTCTTTTTATCTAGGTTACCCTCTGCAAGCTTTGCTCGACCCTTTCTAACCTTCAGGTACCAGCAGAAGCCACCTTTATTCTTACTAAGTGTGTATTGGTGGAATATCTCGGCAAGGCTGAGATTTAGACTGAGTATCTGATTCAGTGCGGCCACGCCGTTTATTATTTTGTATGTGTTGTTGGAGACTTGGGTGAGGCACAGCCTAGTCTGCCTCAAAAATTCGCAGACCAGGGATTGGACCGGGAAACATAAGCCGCCTTCCACAATAAACACGACTGTGAAGGGGCATTTTTCCAATTTGCCCCAGGAAGTGTCTCCTTTCTTGGCTAGCTCCAGGTGGACGTCGTCTGGAATGTTGTATTCTCTACGAAACTCAGTTATTGCCCCAGGCGAGCTGACCAAAAAACGGTATTTCTCCATTAATCTCAGTTTTATTCTGTATAGTAAATTTGATAGTAGCTCGGTCAAAATTAAGCAACTCAAGTGATTATTTGCTCAATCTTTGAGCCTCACCGATGGTAATGATGGTGTGTGCCTAGTTAGTCCTAGTTCTGCATTATTAAAAAAAATAAATGCAAGTATTAGCACGGCATCAAGTGTGCAGCTATCAAAATGCGCCTAACTCGGCTACAAAAGTTTGGCTACCCTCTAGTCTCAACTCAGTTAATTTTCAGCTAGGTATTGGAGCTTAAGATGTTAGGCCGGTTTTGGGCCTTCATCTTAATCTTTGGACGCTCATCTCGGCTAAATGTTCCTATAAGTTTCCAGTGCGGTCACCGCCCCTTGACAGAACCGCAAACTCGTTTTAGCTCAGCCCCGTAGTATTTTTGGATCTAAAAGTGGGATTTTGTATCAACAGTCCTAAATGAAGAAAAGTGAAGAACATGAAGAAAAATGATGAAACTGAGGAGAGCTTACGAGTTTGGATGCCAAATCAAGGCCCAATCGACGACAGAAAATCAAGACCCTCGATACAGCGTTCGTAAGAACAAAAATGGTGAAAACGGCCCGAACGGAAGCGATGACAGCAACGACGATGCAGTGGCGACAGAAACTCAAGGGTGTAGGGTTTTGCACAGAAGAGATGAACAGTGATAAGGGAGAGGGACAAACCTTTCGTATATATGAATGATGGTGGAAGGACGCCAACTTTTCGAATTTCGGAGATAGTGGGACAGTTATAGCGTTGCACGAAACCAATTAGGGAAGGCCACGTGGCATTGAAAAGATGGTTTGTCAGTACGGCTGATTGATTGATGACAAGACGACTGACGTAAGCCTCAATGACAGACCAAAGCGGATAGCTCGGTCGGAATAGTAATCCCAATCACGCTCGGCTCGGATGGGATTAAGGAACAATTGAGAAGGAGATTTGCGCCGAACAATGGGCCAAGCTATGCCAACAAGGAATATGGTGTTGGGCCTCAAAATGAGAGTTTAGGGCACTGTGAGGCCGAATTAGATTTGCACTGAATATGGTGAAACGCTGGGTTAGGATTGTTCGAGATGTATTTGGCTGAGCTAAGACGGAACACGATGTCAAACTGAGTTTGACCCACGCGGATTATGGTGTTGGGCCAGACTTGGCCAAACAGCTCACGGCAGAGCCGAACTGTAGACGGTTCAGACTGCGGTTGTGAAGACAGACGATCAATGAGGCCGCGGTGTGAGGCTAAGATGCAGAACGGCGCGCCCCGCGTCTAGTCGATTCTGATGGACCGGTTTGGTTTCGCTCGGTAGTGGCTATCCATCATAATGTTCATGTCTCACCAAGTAATAGCTCAGTTCAATATGTCACATGG